GGCCTCTCCAACTAACCCCATCCTAGATTCCTTTCTCCTCTCTGCAAACTAGGTCCCTCTTGTACACCCCAGGGGAAGTCTGAGCACCACCACTCTCTTCTGTTTTAACAGAAAGGAGTGAAAACTATCCTCCAGAGAGGCTAAGGAAATTCCCGTCTGCTTTTCTGGGGTGGTCTAGCAATTAGATGGACTCTAAAGGATACTTTTCAAAAACCCAGTGTTTGGAACAGGTGATTGATCTGCAGTACCTGTTTGCAATAAATCTGAGGAAGGGGAAAGTGACCTTTTTAAGATTTGTTGGAGTCAAACTCCTACCATTCCCATGCCAATCAGACACTGTCTTTCTTACAAGCACCTGCCAGACATCACCAAGTTAAAACTCAAAGCTGTATTACTAATGGTGAGAAGAAAAAGAGAACAACTTCGAACTTGCCATATATGGGATGTGACTTTCAACCAAGAACGGCCCTGCTTCCTGTTGGACAGAAATACCGAGCAGCTCAGAACAACACAATGATAGGAAAATGCTGAGCAGACAACAATAAACCAAGGAATGAGCAGGGCCCAGGGTTTTTCTTTAAACCAACATATGTGGCTGGGTGTGTTGTGGTGTTTTATTTATATTGCCATGCAACAGAGGGGGGAAAATGAAGGTGATTTCAATGAAAGGCACAGGGACATGCCAGGCTATCTGATTGCAGTGCCTGACAGATGTTAGGAGGGGATATCAGCCATGACGCCAGAAAATAATTAGTAGAGTCAATGGCTAGATTTGACTTTTGTTTTAAAGGTTCAGTGGTGAGTACAGTCAGTGGCCCAGGGCCAGGGAGTGTTATGCTGCCTCTGGCAGGAACTAGCAGAATGTTTAGAAGCCTGGGAGCAGAGCTGAAAGAAATTTAAGCCCAGCTGCCTGGAGAAGGCTGTGAATCGATCTGTCAAACTGAAGATCAGAAAGCATACCAGCTGCCTCTGCGCCTGCCTTCTGGCCATCTCCTGACAGGACCGGAAGTGCTGTCACCCAGAGGAACCTTGTACCTCAGAAAGGCAGAGTCTCAGGCTGTGCGGACATGTTACATTTTAAGCCACAGCCAAAGCCTGCCCTTCCAGAAAAAGCCCTCCAACCAGGAAAAAACAACGTCAGAAGCTAGGGTGGGGCTTTTGTGTGATCAGGGAAGGTGGGTATCTGCATCCTTTATCCCACACAAGTGTTTTTCCCCAGGTCTTTAGGCACTCGTTTCAGTTTGGCTGTGCAGGTAGACATGGAAGGCTGCCCGCACCTGCTGCTGCTCCCCACACCTGCGGAGCTAGAGGAGAAGAGGGCCCCAGATTGCCCTACTGGGCTCAATCCATGCAAGCAAAGAACAAAGGCCAGGGAATGAACAGGCAGAGGTGGGTCCAGTCTTCGGATGAAGTTGATAACTGTTTATCTGTGCAAATCAGGAAAGTTATGCATATCCACTTTTCTAACCTGCAGATTTATTAATTCATTCTGCAGATATTTCTTGATTGTTTTCTAGGTGCTGGGCTCTCTTCTAGGGGCTGGGATACAGCCGTGAACATAACAAAAGCAAATGCTTGCTCTCAGTGTTCTAAGTTCTAGCAGGGCAAGTCTGCCAGTAGGATGTGAAAGGATGACGCGATATCCCCAAAGGAAGCCAGGCTGCAAGTCATTTGGCACATGTACGTCTACTCACCGACATTAAGGAACTCAGGAGAAAGAGAGCTGACATTAATCAAATGCGTCCTGTGCGACAGGTACTTAATAAAGAATAGAACACTTTTGAGCACTTGCTACATATGAGGCTCATAGAAAGGTGAGGTTAGGTACTTTACATATTCCTTCTAATCCCCTCAACAACTCTGACTCCAGTTGCGCAGACGAGAAACTATCCCAGAAGAAAGCCGAGCAGGAGCACGTCCTGCTTGAGAGCTCCGCACTCAGGCCTGCCGGCCCCACCGTCCATTTGGGGGCTCACGTTCTCCTTGCTCTGGTCCTCAGATGGGAGATGCTGGGGGCACGCCTTTCTCACCTGCATTCTGCGGTCCTATAAGAGTCAGCCTTCCTATCTCTGTCTTCGGGAGACATTTCCATTCATTACTACGATCTCATCCCTGAATTCCTTAATGAGATCATACATAGAAAAGGCTGTTCCTGACCACACTGGCTAACAAATGGAAACCCTCAAATTTGCTTTCTTGCTATTTGTCATCCTTACTGTATTTTTGGTCAGCAGTGTGAGGTGTCACTTGACTGTATATCTACTTTGTTGTTCTATATGTGCTGCTCTCATTTTCTTAATTAGATTAGAGGTGTAGGGAACAGTGTATTACAGTTACGGATGGTTATGTGTTTAGTAATTGTTGAATAGTGGTCTCAACTTGCTCATGGATCAGAATTGCTTGAGTGGCCTGTTAAAACAGACTGCTGGGTCCTTCTCCAGTTTCTGATTCAGCGGGTCTGGGGAGGGCTGAGAATGTGCGTATCTGACAAATTCCCCGGAGATGCTGATGCTGCTGGTCTAAAAGCCACACTTTTGAGAATCACTGCTTAACTGAATGTACCAAAGTAGCTGGAGCAAGCAGGCAGGGTTTAGTCCCATCCCTTCCACTCTTAGCTGAGTGACATATCTGTGCCTCTGTTTGCTCATCTGTAAAAATGGAGTAACATCAGTCACATTGGTACTGCCACAAGGATGAACAGTAATAATTAATTTAATGTGTTTAGTGCTATCCCCGACACACTGAAAACAGCCAGCAAGTGGAAAGGCTGGAATAGCATCAGGCATTAAATAAACACTGGATCCAGCCTAATAAGTCATTTTTTATGAAATTTATTTTGAACTTGTAAGCAGTGAGAATAAATGGTGTCACTGTTGCATGATATCTATAATTAACAGTTTTTAGCCAGTGTGTGTGTGTGTGTGTGTGTGTGTGTGTGTGTGTTTGTGTGTGTGAGATGATTGGACCTAGGGCCTCACACACACTAGGCAAGTGCTCTACCACTGAGCTATGTGCCCAGCTCTTTTTAAATTTTGAAACAGGATCTTGCTAAGTTGCGCAGGCTGGTCTCGAACTTGTTATCCTTCTGCCTCAGCCTCCCAAATAGCTGGGATTACAATGTGGGCCACCAGGTCTGGCATAAGTAACATGGTTTGGCAGTTGTCAGACAACTACAAATCGGGGTGTGGGGAGGAGTTGAGAAGTGCCCCCTCCTCTAGCATGTTGGTTATGATGCCCTGGGTGCAAAGCTCGTGTGTCTTCCAGATGCAGAGGCTGTCACAGTGCCTCCTCTGTATGGCTTACTGCTGAAGGATGCTGAAGGCAGCCTTTGATGAGCTTGGACTTGTTAGGGTAGCCCTGGCGTCTGGACTAATGGGTTGGCAGGCACAAATGGATCCCCTCATTCAATAATTAATCATTGCAGTTATGGGAGGACAATCTTCCCAGAGCACACTGGACAACCACCTCCTCCAGTCCAAGGGTTTCAAAACACTCAGGCCCCCGCTGTTCCTTCCCCCCTCTAAGAACCTCTCCACCCAAAGCAGATTTAAGTCTTCCCTCAGGGTCTATCTGAGCAGTCTCACTGGCTGGCATTCTCCTAAGAAAGCCCAAGAGATCGTGAGCAGAAAAGCCAGTTGTCAGATCTTTCTCATCGTTCTCCAAGGCCTGGGACAGAGCGAATCTGGAGAGCTAGGGATGGATGGTCCAGCCCTAACCAAGCCCTAATAATATTCAAGTCAAGGGTCACTGTCTCTTCTCTCTGCCAACCGCTGTCCCCCAGAATGCCTTTAGTTGAATAAAAGCCTGAAAAGTTGAATGAGATCATCTTCGGGGGCATTAGTATTAGCGGGGCTGTGGGTGGGCGGGGACTGTGGAAAGACACCGCTGCTTTTTGGAAGCTCACGGGCTCCCCACAGTCACAGGAAAGCACCCAACCCTCCTCATCCAGCGGAACCTTCCCCTAACGCCCGAAAAGGACGACCCTTCCCATCCCAATTTGCACCCCTAAGCCCCATTTCTTAAACACCCCTCAGGGGCAGGTTTCGTCCGCGCACTCCCGATGGGGCGCCACCCTGGGCAGGGTTCCCTCGCAATGCCCCAGACAGGAGTGCGGGAAGGGGGTGTGTGCGCCCGCGAGGCCTCGTCCTGCGGAGGCGCGAAGTGGGGGCCGCACCTGGCGCCACCGGTCGGGCAGCTGCAGCCCGGGCAGAGGGGTCCTCCGGGGAAGCAGCACCAGCTCTCTCTTTTCAGGGCTC